AACACCCCTACAGAATCTCAAGCAAAGAGACACGCACTCGTATGGAAAGATATATAAGGTTGTGGTAGTAAATAATATCTTTGTTTTAGGTCCCTTTTTTAGGTACCCCAGTCCGAAAAAAAGAAACACATTTCAAAAACTACTGAGGTCTTTTGCAGCATTTCTGAAGAGTACAAAGAATTTTCTTTTAGAATTTGACAAAATGTTTGGGATGGGGTGCGGGCGAGGTTTAAAATAAAGAGTAGATGTTAGTTCCTTCAAAAGATATAATCAAAAAATGGTACATTAGATAGCCAACACATGCAGCTAATGATCGAGGCAATCTGATATCAAATTAAACCTCGCATGTTACATCATATAAAAGATATATAAAAATAAGTAGAGTATTTTCTACCATTCTTTCAGAAAAAAAATTAAGTGATAGTGAAGGTGCATGAATCGAGGAAACTTAATGTGTAAGAATATATCAATTCAATACAATAATTTTAGTTAGTAGTATAAATATTTATTCTCTGAAAAGTTTATCCTCTCTCTCTCTCTTTCTCTCTTTCTCTCTCTCCACTTGGCAAAAAATGAAGGGGGGGGGTTTCCAACACCCAGGATTCCCCCTATGGATCCGCCAATGTAACATTTACGTAGTAGTTAATATGTGTGTATGTATCCAATGTATTTGCTATTTTTTTAAATAAAATATTAACTGCACATTTGTGTATGAACCACTGAACCATTGATTTCTTACCTGAAATTATTGACCAGTTTTGACTGGTATTAATGTCACTTTTTAACAGTCCCCAATGTACATGTATTAACAAATATGTGAGAATAGAGAATATATTAATTTACCCAATCAGGGCCCATTTGGACATATACTCTTAAATCACATTTTCGTGGGGTCAATTTTTGTTTTTGTGGTTTGAGGAAAAACTCTTGGTTCGAGTGGATTTGATTTCGTGGATGTAGAAACGTTGAGTAGCTATATGTATGTCACGTTTTACAATTGGTGTTGAGCGTGAATTCGTGGGTCTTTTCACACCTCGAATAAACGAAAATTAAACCCCCGAACATTTGTGATTTCACAGTATATTACATATACAAGATAATTAAAAAGAGCATATGATTTTAATTATTTACAAAATGTGATGTAATAGTTGTATTCACATATTTTTAGGACATGTATATACTTAATCAATTTATACATGGTTCATAAGTTGAGATAATTGCTAACATGTAAAATTTAAATTCATATTGTAAAATGTAAACAAGTACCACCGTGTACCATAATGCAAAAAACTATACATATACAACAATTTGTACTGAATAGATATGTTTCACTAAATTGCAAAAGAAACCACGGGACAGTGCATTGGTACTTTAAAAAGCACCATGTTTGCATATCTTATGACCAAAGTAATATTTATTAAGTGATTGAGAATACAATTTTTTAAATTTGATTATACATGTAGAAGACACATTATATTGCACCCTTAATCAATTTATAAGGGGAATAAGAACTTTCTTAATTCAGTACATACAGTGTTTTTCTTTTAATGTAAAAATTTACATGTGTATACCTATTATTGAAATTTCAAATTATTTGAATTAGTATTTTATATTGCTCTTCTAGTTCTCAAACAACTGAAGGCACTTCAATAGTTTCACAGTTTAGAACCCACAATAACTAATTTTCATTATTTAAATAAGCAAAATTGAAATAGTGCCTTTAATAGAATTCAGATGAGTCTTTTGTTCTGTAACAAAACTCAAACATTCAAAAAGTGTGTTTTTCAGCTTCAATTACATTCATTGAACATTTAGTACACAGTCATGATCTCTATAGGAAAGCCAAAAATATGTACATCTTATAGCTGTATAATTATAATGATTCTTAATCAATGAATAGTAGTCCAGTCAAATTGTCATAAACCTTAAACAAATTTCAACTAAATTTGTTTCTTTATTTATAATAAGTAAATTGTATTCATTCTTAAGTTTAAATTTCAATAGTGCACTGAAGATATAAGATCTGGGAATCTTAAATACGTTTAAACTTAACGATATATTGTTGAAATCTTAGTACGAGATCCGAGGGAATTTTACGTTGAAACATAACAATTTGGACCCGAAATATTTTGAATATTCCATTGCATATTTCAATTTGCCAAACAACTCGACAAGCAAATAATTTCTTTAAGTATGAACAAATAACCAAGACCGGTTAAGTATAACAGTATAACAGTTAACCTGAGTATGTTTTATTCATGAGGAAACTGATCTGTTAATAAATAAACTGTGCGGATTCATGTTTTAACCTTGAATTTAACATTACTACGAAATGGTTAACGAATTACAAGCTACAAACTTTTTAGTCGATAGTTGGTTTAATCGAACGATAGTCAATTACTCGATTATATGTTGACATTCCTAATTATAATTGATACTTTTCGATGTTCTTGACTTTTGACATGCATTGAAGAATTGAGTTAACAACATAGGACTTAGCCTTAAATATCTTATCAAATCTCAATTAATATTAGACAATAAATAATTAATTCATTCCAGCCTCCGGCTCAATATTATGGAGGACAAAGATGTATTGTTATAACCATAAAAAATCTTAAAGATTCGTCTCTCTCTCTCTCTCTCTCTCTCTCTCTCTCTCTGTATATAAGTGTTCTACGAGTTTTAGATTTACTCAGCTAAAATGAGAAAACAGGAAAATTACAGTAACGAAAACACAGGGAACTATAATTTTCACTACTGTTATAAAAAGTAATTTATCTAGAATTCTTGTTGAGGGTGAAGTACAATTTCGGTTTCCTTCCCTATATAATTCTTGTATTTAAAGCCAAAATTAGCTGATAACAAGAATTTGAGAATGGGAATTTCCAGCTTTGTAGGAAAAAATAAGACGTTGATCCAGGGGTTGTATCCAAGAATACTGATCCGGGTGGAAAAATTTTCCAACGTTGAATATTGAACATGGGTTTATTTTTACAACATTGAAAATGAGAGATTGAAAAAAACCAAAGTAAATAAATGTAATATACCTCAGGTCATTTTTTACAGCTTCATATTTGTCATTGCATACGACCTAAACACTCTGAGAGTTGACCCTGATGAATATTTACCCCAACAATGGAGATATGAACAGTAACGCTTGTACGCATCTTTGAAATGGGAGTTGTTTGAAACTCTTTATTATTTAATCTATTTATTAATATTTTGTCTTTTGACTTTTCATTTTTTCCAGAATAATAAGAATCGGATCATATATTCACGAATTGATCAGTAGAATATATTTCACTGTTTTATATGATTTCAAATACATAACTTTCACATTTTCGAAATGTTATCTCCCTTTCGGTGGTCAGATGGTGTACATTGTAGGACACGTCTATTTTCCTCTTTTATGATCAAATGTATTTGTCAGTGTGTTACAAGTTAAATATATATGAATATATTCATTATGTTTTCCAATACTATCATAATACAGAGACAAATAAAAAAATGTTCATATAGTTTAAAGGTCGAAAAATATAAGGTATATGTATAATACATTATTTTATCTCATTTTGAATAATTTTTACAACGCTTCACATGTTTGGTACTAGAATATCAAGTGGCAGGGCACATTTTCCTGTTGTTATAATGCTTTTGATTATATTCAACCTTTTCTGTAAATGCATTTTCCGCAATAGTTACCGTTCGTTAAACGAAAACTCCAAAGAGTAGTAGACGTCAGAGTAGCCTTGCTCACGCCACATTTCTATTGTTTTATCAGAGTGTCATGTGTCAAAGGATTTCTGTTACTTCACTTTCAAATTTAAAATCAATTTGAGAGCAGTCCCGAATTTGAAAGTTTATGTATTATTTTTCAGCTCTTTTGCATGTTTTCATGTAACAAAAAATTAAATGCATAGATGTTTGGGAAACATGAAGATTAATTCAGCCAAAAAGTATATTATGCTTGGGGGAAATGATTTTTCTTGGCGTAATGAATATACATACGTATATGCATTACTATAATGCAATAAATAGGTGTAAAGTTGCAAAAATATTGTGTGGAAAATGTGTTACGCAAACATGTCAAGAAAATGAAATTAATTTTTGCAAGAATGTGAAATTATGTTTTAATCATATGATGTAGAGTTTCCACATGAATTTCCGTAATATGAAAACAAAAGCACGCAATTTTATTTTGCAAGACGTACGTAGTGTTGCTTCTCTATTGTCAAATCACATTGTTATGGAATAGAATGTAAATAAATATCAGACCATTTTACCAATTTCCTCAAATCTTCTAATTCTTGAAATCAGTAGAAATCACCCATGCATAGAATTTTCTTTTGTTATATAATAATAACTTTTTAAAATGTCGTTTAATCCAATTGATTTCTTAGGAACAAGTCAAGCCAAGATTAGTTGTACTGTTTATAAATTTAGGAATAATGACTGATTTAGAGGATTTGTTACTGATTATTTTAAATCCACACAGAGATGACACCTGAAGAAATAAAACATCATCCCTTTTCGTAAGATTTCCCTTACTTTTACTTACTGAAACCTGAAACTCATGTCATCTGCCGTTGTTACTAGTATTTACTTAAACCTGACCACACTGCCTTCATCACTGGACTAGGAAGAATAGACTATGTGAAAATACTATATTAGCAAAATCCAAATTAGCAAATTAATTTGATGATCATTAAACAGCAAACTTTCTTATTTGATAAAAAAAAAAATCTTACCTTAGTCTTTTATAAGTGTCAATTCTTTAATATCAATGTAATTTTTCATATGACAGTAATCCCCCCCCCTCTCCGCCGATTTTGAAATGTGAGTAAACAATTAATTCCTGTGTAGTGTTTTCAAAATATTCAAAATACAATTCATAATTAACATTCAAAGAAAAAATTCCAGATAATTAAAACATTAACATTTAGTTTGATTACAGGGAAACCAGGATATAATTTTGGTGATTTTATCAGCTCTAAGCTTCCTGTGTATGTGATGCCTAGTCATGAAGCAGAAAAGTTCTACAACAACAACAACATTGGGACAGATGTACTGGGGGTAGGTATCTCAGATTCAGAATTAAAACTGTCAAGAGAATCAGAAATTTATCAATGATATTTTAACATTGGGTAAATAAGGTACCTATCCCCGTCTGTAAAAAAACGTCAAAATTTCCAATAAATCCATATGTCTTCATATACTCATGCTCATAGATGTTCTGTTCCAGGTTCCTCTTGGTGATGAATCAAGGCTTGCAAAGCTTCCACCACTGAAGAGTGAAGATATTGGGATCCACCTCCAGGCCCACCCCCAGAAATTGGCTGCCCTTGACCTACAACTCTCCTCCTTAGGTTTGTTATGTCATTCATAACTTCATTTTGCAAGATTTATGAATGGTACTGGCTGTTGAGATTACAGTAAACCCATTTAATTAGTAAAAATCCTGTAAAGAAGTCACCCATGCAGTAAATTTTCCTAATTTTGTTAAATAATGATAACATTTTTTGAACGTATTTAAGGAAGACTGTCTAGTTAGTGGAATATGCTTGGGCATCTAGGATAGCTGGAAACATTGGATATGCATAATGGGCAAAGCATTTCCAATTATCCTTGATGACCCTGGCATACTATACTAAGTAGACAGTGATTCTCTATATTTCCATTTCATTGTGAAATAAAATTGTAAATTTAGATTATAAAAATGTTGTCTAATAAATTAAAATTTGCACAAGTCCTCTTATGTCCGAAAGACAAACACACAAAACATGTACATTAGGTCTCCTTAGCTCCTGATGTATCTCTTGTTGAAATTTACATGCTGGAAGAATGATAAAAAAATCAAATCCATTAACTTTCAGAGTTACCAGTATAACTGAGAAAACAAATAGAACTGGAAATAATCAAATATTAGATGATATAGAAACAAAGAGATTTTAAAATTCACAAATCATTTCTTATGCAGTCTAAAATCCATTTACAGGTTGGGTGTCAGTGATTGGAATGGCTCGGGGATTTGAGATAGATATAGACGTTACATTAAGAGTTTACACCCCAGGGGCTCTTGGGATTTATCAGAGACCCCCGATGTTGAGGGAGGCCCATGCTTTCCATAGAAAAAGGATGGGGAATTCATTTAAATACAGAAGGAACAAATCTAAACTGCTGCTTTCAAAGGGAGAACGATTATGATGTGATGTGTGTTACTAAATATGAATATGATAGATGGAGCATATTTCATATAAATGGACTTTGTTTTTTAGCTCTACAGGTCAGAACCAAAAGAACTAATGGGATAGTAATGTATCCCTTGTCCGTTCATCTGGCTAGCTATCTGTCTTCTTTTAATCTGTTTGTCTGCAAACAATTTTTGAAAATGCTGCTCCTACTACAGTTTTTGTATGATTTGAATAAAATGTTACACACAAATAGATACACGATTAAAGGAACATGCATGTAATTCTGTGTATCGATTTTTGATTTCGATGAATGGTGCTGCCATGGTTACTAAAAATTCAAATTTCGATGAAATACTTTGAAAATGCTACAACTCTTTCAGTTTTGGTCTGATTTTCATATAATGCAACATGCAAGTAGAGAGCAGGAAAGCTGAAACTTAAGTGAAAGAATCAGCGGGTTGTGTAGATTCTAAATCGTTCAATCATGACCCCAGGAGTTAGGGCAGGGCCACAATAAGGAGTCCGATTATACATGGAAACATGTAGGAAAAAAGAATCCCGGGGTTTTGTAGATGATAAATTGTTCAATCGATAAATCGTGACCCCTATGGTAAGGCGGGGCCACAATAGGGAATCAAAGTTTTGTATTGAATTATATATGAAAAAATTCAAAATCTTTTCAAGAACCACCGGGAAAGAAAAGCTGAAACTTATGTGGAAGCATCCTGAGATAGAGTGTATTCTACATTTTCCACATTATGTATGACCCCAGGGAAAGGTGGGGTCACAATAGCTATAACAAGGCGGAAACCTGGTAAATAACAGCATGCTCAGTTTTACTCAGATGAGAGATGTGGCCCATGTTTCTCTTGATTCTTCCTTTGTTATAAGTACAAACCAGTAGAGCTACAGCATCGACAAAGATTTCTACTACTACATATGTGTTTTAAATGATCTAGATGTAATACACTAAACATATTTGTGTTTTAAAGAATTTTACTTTACAATATTAAAATGTTAGGTGAAACATCATCAATGAACAGTAAAATGACTATTTTTTTTAAATATGTACATGAAATAAACAATATAGATCTACAAGTTATACCAGATCAATGTTTTTTTATATCTTGACGACAAAAGCCGAATATTATGGAAGATCTTTTACGGTTAGAAAATATGAAATAAATTGCCAGAATTTTTATCATTATAAACATGATAAAGTTAAGATTATACATAGTGGTTATTATGAGAAATAATGGAGAAAATATTCAGTTGAGGTGGATACACAATTCCTTGTAAGTTTTACAGCATTTTATTTGGAAGATGCATTCTCAAAATAAACATTATAAACATATTAAGGAGATTTTATTTCATGTTTACTTTAAGTTGACGGTTTATTATCTTCATACATTTACGTTCTATCTGTTTCCTTTACAAACAAGTTATGCTTCAATTCCCGATCAGCAAACTCGTTCACTTACGATAGAAACATGAAGTAAATCATATTTCACATGAGTACATTTCTCTGTAATTGTTGTTTAATAATTCTATTCTGAAATCTGTAGCTTCTTGTATTCTGTGGAATGGGTCCTGTTTGAGCGACTCTTCAAAAGACCGTAAAGCCCCGTTTAAGTCTCCCACAACATGCTGACAGATACCTAGTACCTGCCAGGATAGGTCTCTAAGATGTAAAGGAACAAATTTCCCGTCATCATAGAGCAGCAGTGTCTGTAGGTCTGTCAGTGACTGTAAACACTGAGATCTATTATCTAGTCTATACTGAGATAACACTGACAACATCTCTACTGTAACATACGGTGATAACTGTAGGAATGGTTGATGACTTACATTTTGTTCTAAACATAATTCTTCAATATAGGAGAAATTACATAACAAGTCCACAACATCCACCCAGGCTATCTTCATTCTTTGAGACAAAGACAAATTACCTACAGCTTCATTGTACCTTTCCCTATCAACATTTGCAATACACATCATAAATGATTGTGATAGTCTTTGTCTAACGAGATACGTGATGCGTACTGTCCTATCATACCTCCCTGTTCTATAGTAATACAATGCTAGATATAATAAATGAGACATAGGACCAAATCTTGCCGCCATTTTCAACAGACCACAAATTGTTGTATCAAAATTATAGATATTTTTATGTGTGGAACATGACGTATCGTTTGCCATAATGATGGATAAGCAAACAAGATTCTGAGCAGTACTGTAATGTTAATAACTGGTATGATGAGAGTGATAAGCGAGAAAGTCTCTTATTTGATTTTAAATAAAGATATGATTCCCATATGTGATTATCAGAACTTTTGATGCTTGATATTTTAATCATGCCACATAAATCTAAATCTGCTATACTTATGGCTTCACCCTCAGCAGGAGATACATGTAACACAAAGGACGGGCTGCTGACGGCTGGTTCTAAGATTGATCTGAGAGTCGGACTCAGCAGTAAGACTAGCACGCCCATTCTGTAATACTTATAAAGCTGTTGTAAAAGAGAGTCACGTGCACCACCAACAACTTTGTTTATGAACATGTTGTTCTTTGGAATAAAAAAAATTAAAAAAACTCCACGATAAACACAATGAAAAAGATATTTTAAACACTTCGAAAAGCAAGCTAGTAAGTTGTTCGGGCACCATCTAACTTGTCCTGATTGCATCATCCAAAACCTTGTGTTCTTTATGTAATATGAACACAGTAATTTATCTTCTCCACAATTGATAACTTCCTTCAGAAATATTTTCAGGAGTCCGTAACACAGAAACTGTGTATGATTCATGGTACATACCAATTGTTGCTCTGCTTGAGAAAATGATAATCTCCATTCCAGTTCGTTATCAGTCGCATCAATTGCAACTTTACTACCAATAGGCACAAAGTGACATTCACTTTTTAAGATTTTTTCTAATACAGGTACCAGCGGCCAGGTGTGCCTCTGACATCTTTCAACCCAACTTCCTAATATTTTATGCCAAGGAAAAGAGGCTAAACAATGAGCTTGATCGATTTCAATAGGTCCACAGAAACCACTGCTACAGGGACCATGGCGTATGTTATTTTCAGTGTATGGCCTTGTCTCATTACTGAACTGAAAAAAAATGTTTCTCCACAGTCCACTAGATAAATAAACTGTGCCATTAAAGAGAACAAGGCATGACATCGTGATTATGTCTCGTGTTGGTGTCAGGAGCCGCAGTTTGACAAATCCTGGCGGTGTATCAGAATCTTCCATTAGCATGATAACATGTTTTGTTGTATTATAAAACCGAGACTGGGAGATGTCAGTTATTAATTTATAATGACAGCTCCAGACCATCGAGTCCCTGTCAGATGATCTCAACCTAAATCCCTCTCTATGACTACCACTTGCCATTGTTACATATCCTTTATGATGACCAGCAGGTTTTTGTATCATCTCTTTTATGTCCATCACGTCCCTTCTGATGGCCACTTCTGTCGGTGTCCCTATCTTTCGACAGAGAAAAACATACCGAACCTCTGAAAGACGGGGAATATTGTCCATTCTGTAAATAAGTTATGTTTCTAATATATAAATTATCGAAATACTTAAAATTACCATTTTTGAGAATTGCAACATTTCTGGTAGATTATCTTATTCGTGTTTCAAAATAAACGTATACATACATGAAACACTAATAAATGAGTTTCCTTATATTAATATTCTCTCTTCACACTGCAGCCTGCACGTAATACGTTTGATAGCAATACTCAGGAAATACTTGTTTCGAAAGGCAAAGCATGTAGTTTTTTTTTCATTGGATGCATATGCATATAATAATAATCTTAATTATTTCCTTGTCCGTACCTTCTTTTTATTGAATATTTATTTCCTATGTGAACAAGGACATATTATTTAGTTTTTAATTTTTACTTGCAAATTTGAAACAAAAATGAACGAAATAAAAAAAAGAATAAAACATCTTCACCCACACAAAGCAAACCAACAAAAAGAAAAAGAGGAAACAAAAACAAAAACAAAAAGGGCATGTATGGGATGGGGTTAATATACGTCTAAAGTACTTGCCAGATTTCTTTCATTTATATAGACTTTAAAATTTATCAGGGATCCATGTGAACTTCACATTTACCACAGATTTTAAACTCTGATAATACTGCACCCAAGTTTCTTCTTGTACCGAACAAAATAAGTAAATGTCATGGAGTTTGTTGCTTATATTATTAGAGAAATCCCTGGAAAGATAACATTTTGAAGTTGCTACACTTGTACATGTACACAATTTTTCTGAATTCAAAATGTAGACATACAGACAGATGGATAGGGCTAAAAACCAATGGATGAAAGTATACCCCTGAATCTTCGATTCCCAAGACATAAAAATAAATATTCTGCATCAGCGGGGGTAAGTTGGTCTAAAGTGAATACACAGTTAATTATGAACTGAAAATAATTGAAATCATGTAATGATTGGTTTAAAGACAATTTGTTTAATTTATCCTACGGTTACTTGAGGCGGTTGGTGGTGGTGGTGGTGGTCTACCTAACATTGGCGTTATTTACCTGGAGTCCATCAGAGGAGGGTGGGGGTCTAAGAAACGGTGTTATTTACCTGGAGACCCTCAATACCCCTGATGTCAAAAATCTACCCTGCATTTTACAGGAAGTCTGTGTTTGGTAATCAGAATCAATATGATTGTTTTCTGCAAACTAAGATTATCCGGTAGCGTAGATAGCTAATTTGTTAAATAAATACAATCAAAATTGAGTGTTTAAGTTCGTAAAATACTATATTTTGATTTGTACGTCATGTTATGTTTCACTGAGTCTATTAAGAAGTATTTCACCCTGGTTAAATAAATTGTAAGTTTTCTTTGGTACAAAGATACGAGACTGTTTCACATTCTATATGATTATGTAAAAAAAAAACTTTGATTAGCTTTTTAGATATCTATAGAAAAGCATTTGTCTGGATCGGCAAAGGTCTAAGAATTATATATTGCTTGTCTAGCCAGTTCACAGCCCGCGTGGCGCAGTGGTTAGAGCGTCTGCTCTAGA